TTTCACATATATTATACTTTATATTCTCCTATAAAAACATAGGAAATTAAAAAATATAGGAAATATATTAATCATATATTACATTATATTACATCATATATTTATTATATATTTTATATTTTATATATCATACATTCTATTGCATTATTATATATTTATATTAATTTTATGTTATATTACATCATATATTTAATATATTTATTATATATATTTATATATTACATAATATACGTTCTATTGCATTATTATATTTATATTATATTAGATTACATCAGATTTTTATTTTTGATTTATATATATATACTTATATTATATATTACATCATATATTTAATATGTTTATTATATATTATATATATTACATAATAGAACATATATTATTGCATTATTATATTATATTATATTACATCAGATTTTTATTTTTAATTTTTATTTTTAATTTTTATATGTATATATTTATTATATATATTATATATTATATTTAATATATTTATTATATATTATATTATATATATTACATAATATACATTCCATTTCATTCTTATATTTATATTATATTAGATTACATCAGATATTTATTTTTATTATATGTATATATTTATTATATAATATTTTATATATTACATAATATACGTTCTATTGCATTATTATATTTATATTATATCATATTATATTACATCATATTTTTATTTTTTATTTATTAGATATATAGTTATATTTTAGATTACATCATGTATTTAATATATTTATTATATATTTTATATATTACATAATATACGTATTGCATTATTATATTTATATTATATTATATTATATTATATTACATCATATTTTTATTTTTTATTTATTATATATATAGTTATATTTTATATTACATCATGTATTTAATATATTTATTATATATTTTATATATTACATAATATACGTTCTATTGCATTATTATATTTATATTATATTATATCATATTTTTATTTTTTATTTATTCTATATATATTTTATATATATATATATATTATATTACATTATTATATCTTCTCAATTCTATATTATATTACAACTGTATATTTTAGGTATCATATTTTACATAATATTTCTCATATTTATTTTCGTATTACATGACATTACGTTGCATTACATTCACACGCTGTTCCTTCTTCTTTCTTGGAAAGCCTGGACCTGGCTGGAAATAACCCTGGGCTCCCATTGGCCGGCTGCAAAGGGACGGAGAATGCTGATTGGTGGCATGTCTGCTCCACGTGGCAGGTCATTCCCAAGGCTCGTGGTTGCCTGTTTGCCTGCCCGGGCATCCGGCCCAGTGCCTTTTGCCCTACACACACAGGATGGGAATAACAGGAAGGGAGGCGGCCGGGACACCCTTATATCGCAGATTATAAAATATAGATTTAGGGATATTATTATCACTACTATTATTATTAGGGCTGGACCGGATGACCTTTAGGGGTCCCTTCCCACTCTGGGATACTATTATTATTATTATTATTATTATTATTATTATTATTGAGGTAGGACCGGATGACCTTTAGGGATCCTTTCCAACTCTAGGATACTACTACTACTACTACTACTATTTTTAGAGCTGGACTGGATGACCTTTAGGGGTCCTTCCAACTCTAGGATGTTATTATTATTACTATTATTATTATTATTATTATTATTATTATTATTATTATTATTATTATTGAGGTTGGACTGGATGACCTTTAGCGGTCCTTTCCAACTCTAGGATACTACTACTACTACTATTATTTTTAGAGCTGGACTGAATGACCTTTAGGGGTCCCTTCCAACTCTAGGATACTGTTATTATTATTATTATTATTATTATTATTATTATTATTATTATTATTATTATTAGGGCTGGCCTGGATGACCTTTAGGGGTCCCTTCCAACTCTAGGGTATTATTATTATTATTATTATTATTATTATTATTATTATTATTATTATTGAGGTTGGACCGGATGACCTTTAGAGGTCCCGTCCAACTCTAGGATACTATTATTATTATTATTATTATTAGGGCTGGACCAGATGACCTTTAGAGGTCCCGTCCAACTCTAGGATATTATTATTATTATTGAAGTTGGACCGGATAAACTTTAGCGGTCCCAACTCTAGGATATAATAATAATTATTGTTACCACTATTATTATTATTGTTAGGGCTGGACCGGATGACCTTTAAGATTCCCTTCCAACTCTAGGATATTATTATTATTATTATTATTATTATTATTATTATTATTATTATTAGGGCTGGGCCAGATGACCTTTAAGATTCCCTTCCAACTCTAGGATACTATTATTATTATTATTATTATTATTAKTAGTAGTAGTAGTAGTAGTAGTAGTATTAGGGCTAGACTGGATGACCTTCAGGGGTCCCTTCCAACTTAGAGAACTGCCTCCATATTGTTTTCTTCAGTGTGTTCTTGCGTGTGTTCTTTCCCCCACGAAGATCGTTCCTGGAACTTGTGGTGTTGTTCTGTTGTGTCTCCCTGTGTGTTTCACGGCACGTCACATTCCTTATCTCGGCACAGTTCGTAGAGCAGAGCGGCTGTTCTTTGGCCGCTGACATGCCTTGGGCGTTGATTGAGATGATTGTCATAGTTGGTCCTGAAAAGGTCTCTTGGTTTGGTTGGTTGCGTGCTGCAAGTCACTTTTGGCGTGGGAGACTCAGCCGTCTACAAAGACGTTGTTGCCCAGGGGACTCCTGGATGTCCGCGGGGACGCTTCTCTTATGTCCCTCAGGTCCCAGAATGCTCCATTCCATCGGGTTCCATTCCATTCCATCGTTGATGGAGTTCAGAATGCTCTTTGATTGTAGGTGAACTATAAATCCCAGCAACTACAACTCCCAAATGTCAAGGTCTATTTCCCCCAAACTCCACCAGTGTCCACATTTGGGCATATTGAGTATCCATGCCAAGTTTGGTCCAAATCCATCATTGTCCGAGCTCTCTGGAAGTAGGTGAACTACAACTCCCAAACTCAAGGTCAATGCCAACCAAACCCTTCCAGTATTCTCTGTTGGTCAAGGGAGTTCTGTGTGCCAAGTTTGGTTCAGTTCCATCATTAGTGGTGTTCAAAATGTTATTTGGTTTTAGGTGAACTGTAAATCCCAGCAACTACAACTCTCAAATGTCAAGGCCTATTTCCCCCAAAACCACCAGTGTTCACATGTGGACATATTGAGTATCCATGCCAATTTTGGTCCAGATCCATCATTGTCCGAGTCCACAGAGCTCTCTGGATGTAGGTGAACTACAACTCCCAAACTCAAGGTCAATGCCCACCAAAGCCTTGCAGTATTTTCTGTTGGTCAAGGGAGTTCTGTGTGGCAAGTTTGGCTCAATTCCATAATTGGTGGAGTTCAGAATGCTCTTTGGTTGTAGGTGAACTATAAATCCCAGTAATTACAGCTCCCAAATGTCAAGGTCTATTTCCCACAAACGCCATTGTTCACATTTGGGCATATTGAGTATCCGTGCCAACCTTGGTACAGATTTCTCCACAATGCTGTCTGGATATAGGTGAACTACAACTCCCAAACTCAAGGTCAATGACCAGCAAAACCTTCCAGTAGTGTGTTTTGGTCATGGGAGTTCTGTGTGCTAAGTTTGGTTCAATTTCATCACTGGTGGAGTTCAGAATGCTCTTTGGTTGTAGGTGAACTATAAATCCCAGCAACTACAACTCCCAAATGTCAAGGCCTATTTCCTCTAAACTCCACCAGTGTTCACATGTTGACATATTGAGTATCCATGCCAAGTTTGGTCCAGATCCATCATTGCTTTGGTCCACAGTGCTCTCTGGATGAGGTGAACTATAAATCCCAGCAACTGCAACTCCCAAATGTCAAGATCTATTTTCCCCAAACTCTGCCATTGTTCCCATTTGGACATATTGAGTATTTGTGTAGAATTTGGTCCAGATCTATCCACAATGCTCTCTGGATGTAAGTGAACTACAACTCCCAAACTCGAGGTCAATGCCCACCAAACTCTTCCGGTATTTTCTGTTGGTCAAGGGAGTTCTGTGTGCCACGTTTGGTTCAATTATATCATTAGTGGGGTTCAGAATGCTTTTTGCTTGTGGGGTGAACTATAAATCCCAGCAACTACAACTCCCAAACTCAAAGGTCACTGGCCACCAAACCCTTCCGGTATTTTCTATTGGTCAAGGGAGCTCTTTGATTGTGGGTGAACTATATATCACAGCAACTACAAGTCCCAAACTCAAGATCAATGCCCACCAAACCCTTCCAGAATTTTCTGTTGGGTCAATAGAGTTCTTTCTGCCATGTTTCGTTCAATTCCATCATTGGTGGAGTTCAGAATGCTTTTTGCTTATGGGGTGAACTATATATCCCAGCAACTACAACTCCCAAACTCAAGGTCAATGCCCACCAAACCCTTCCGGTATTTTCTGTTGGTCAATGGAGTTCTTTGTGCCATGTTTGGTTCAATTCCATCATTGGTGGAGTTCAGAATGCTTTTTGCTTGTGGGGTGAACTATAAATCCCAGCAACTACAACTCCCAAACTCAAGGTCAATGCCCACCAAATCCTTCCGGTATTTTCTGTTGGTCAAGGGAGTTCTTTGTGTCAAGGCTGAGTCAATTCCAACACTGGTGGAGTTCAGAATGCTCTTTGGTTGTAAGTGAACTACAAATCCCATTAACTACAACTCCCAAATGAGAAAATCAATCCCATAAATCTCAGCAACTACAACTCCCAAACTCAAGGTCAATGCCCACCAAACCCTTCCAGTATTTTCTGTTGGTCAGTGGAGTTCTCTGTGCCATGTTTGGTTCAATTCCATCATTGGTGGAGTTCAGAATGCTCTTTGGTTGTAGGTGAACTACAAATCCCATTAACTACAACTCCCAAACGAGAAAATCAATCCCTACCAATTCCACCAGTATTCAAATTTGGACATTTGTGAATGAAAATACACCCTGCAATACAAGAAATGTGACTCTTCTTTAAAGTTTTGGAAACTTTTATTATATTTACGAAATGTCAACCCCGCATAAAAGAGGTTATATTAACACAATATAAAATATATAACTTTTCCAAACCAATACAAAAAGAAATTAGGAAGAAAAGCATCACAAAAGGAGTAGAAAACAGGAGATGAGCATCTCTCTCTTGCATTAATTACATTGAAACCTGGGCTTCATTAACACTTTGAATAACAACAACAACAACAACAAAACAACAATAACAACAATAATGCAGTGCTATCAGAAAGAATACAATAATAAAAAAGTGCATTTATTTATCTCCGTTGAGGATAAACCACGTCATTAAGAAAGAAAAATCAAGAGACTCGTTAAGGCTTTGGGTGGAAAAACAAAGGCAAAGCCATTTTGGCACCCGGTTGTTTACTTGTTTACAAACAAATCTGCATATTTTGGTCTTTTTCGGTATTTATAAAGATGCCGCGAAAAATGCCTGAGATACAGAGATAGATATAGATACTTAATGGGAAAATATCCCAAAATATTTCCCAACCTTTTCCTGGTTTATCCACACGCAAAAAAATCCAACAAAACAACCACAAACAAAAACAAAAACGTCATTAGAAATCAAGTAAATAACAAACAATGCTTGTTGGCTTTGCTTTGAAATTGCAAAATAAGGTTAATTTGCTTATTGCTTAACGAACGGAGTGCGTTTATTGCCACGTTCTCATAATAATAATAATAATAATAATAATAACAAACACCGACTTCAATACAACTCTCTCTTCCAAAATTCCACCTTAAATCCACCTTAAATCGAGACTTTGAGACCTTAAAATGCCCAAGAATGGATTCGATTCAGTATTAATAGCAATTATTGATCTTGATTCAATTCTCGTTTGCAAAATTCCACCTTAAATCGAGACTTTTAAGGCCTTAAAGAGCCCAAAAATTGATAATAGTAATTACTGATCTTGATTCAATTCTTCTTTGCAAAAATCCACCTTAAATCGAGACTTTTAAGGCCTTAAAATGCCCAAGAATGGATTCTATTCAGTACTGATAGAAATTATTGATCTCGATTCAATTCTTCTTTGCAAAATTCCACCTTAAATCAAGACTTTAAGGCCTTAAAATGCCCAAGAATTGATTCTATTCAATACTGATAGAAATTATTGATCTCGATTCAGTTCTTCTTTGCAAAATTCCACCTTAAATTGAGACTTTTATTCAATACTGATAGAAATTATTGATCTCAATTCAGTTCTTGTTTGCAAAATTCCACCTAAATTGAGACTTTGAGACCTCCAAATGCCCAAGAATTGATTCGATTCAGTATTAATAGCAATTATTGATCTCGATACAATTCTTCTTTACAAAATTCCACCTTAAATTGAGACTTTTAAGGCCTTAAAATGCCTAAGATCTGATTCGATTCAGTACTGAAATTATTGATCTTGTTTCAGTTAGTTCTTCTTTGCAAAATTCCACCTTAAATTGAGACTTTGAGGCCTTAAAGAGCCCAAGAATGGATTCTATTCAGTATTGATAGACATTATTGATCTCGATGCAACTCTCTCTTTCCAAAATCCACCTTAAATCGAGTCTTTGAGGCCTCCAAATGCCCAAGAATCGCCTCTATCCACAGGAACCATACACCACATACACAAAAGCCACAATTCCACACCAAAAACATCCACTTTCCATCTTTGATCTCAAATCGCAACCGCTCCATTTGAGATTCCATCAGTAGTTATTTCCTTCTTTTCCCAAAGGGAAACGCTGACACCACTGCGCCTGTCCTTTTGTCACACACCCACACTTCTGGCTCCGCGTGGCCACTTCTATGGAGAAGAAAGGAAGTTTTTCCCCCCAAAAGGCAGAAGGAAAGGCCCAACCGCGGGAGGAGGAGTGTCTCTTCTTCTTCTTCTTCGTCCCGTTGCAAGGAACGGGTGCAACTCTTTGGAATACAAGTCCGTCATAAAGGAAGAAAAACAAAGATAACTCATTGTTGCTTCTTTCTGTTTTTCACTGCACCTTGTTGTTGTTGTTGTTGTTGACAGTGCAGGGATCCACCTGGAAAGAGGGGAAAACAATGGGAGGGATGATTATTGGGTTTGCTTTGCAAAGGAACAGGAGCCAGATTAGAAAATGATAGTACAGTATAGATATAGTATATATGTAGTATATATATATGTAGTATATATAGTATATAGTATGTATATATATATATATATATATATATATATAGAGAGAGAGAGAGAGAGAGAGAGAGAGAGAGAGAGAGTATATATATATAGTATAGTATATATATGATATATATAGTATAGTATAGTATTAGTATAGTATTAGTATAGTATCAGGAGCCACTTGAGAAACTGCAAGTTGCTTCTGGTGTGAGAGAACTGGCCATCTGCAAGGACATTGCCTGGATGGTGTTACCATCCTGTGCAAGGCCTCTCTCATGTCCCCACATAGGAAGCTGGAGCTGACAGACAGGAGCTCACCCCACTCCCCGGATTAGAACTGCCGACCTTTTGGTCAGCAGTCCTGCCAACCCAAGGGTTTAATCCATTGCACCACTAGGGGTTCAATAACAACAACAACAACATAGAAGCCGGCTAATAATTTAGAATAATCATACAGAAGCTGGCTAATAATAATAGGAGCTGGCATATAATAATACTAATACTAATAATAGCGAAACTGACAAATAATGAGCAATAGTAGTAATAATAATAAAGAAGCTGGCATAGAATACCAATAATAATAATATAGAAACTGGCAAATAGTGAGTAATAATGAGTAATAATAATAATATAGAAACTGGCATATAATAAATAAATATAGAAACTGGCAAATAATAGTAATACTAATAATAATAATACAGAAACTGGCAAATAATAATAATACTAATAATATCGAAACTGACAAATAATGAGCAATAGTAATAGTAATAGCAATAATAATAATAATAATATAGAAGCTGGCATATAATACCAAAATAATATAGAAACTGGCAAATAATGAGTAATAATAATAATATAGAAGCTGACATATAATACCAATAATAATATAGAAGCTGGCATCTACTACTACTACTACTACTACTACTACTACTAATATAGAAACTGGGATATAATAATATGAATACTAATATAGAAACTGACAAATAATGAGTAATAATATTAATAATATAGAAGTGGCGTATAATAACCCTGCTACTACTAATAATATAGGAACTGGCACATAATAATACTAATACAGAAATTGGCAAGTAATAATAATAATAATAATAATAATATAGAAGTGGCATGTAATAATAGTGATAGTAATATAGAAACTGACATATACTACTACTACTAATAATAATAATATAGAAACTGGCGTATAATTATTCTATATTAGTATTAGTATTATTATATGCCAGTTTCTATATTATTATTATTATTATTAGTAGTAGTAGTAGTAGTATATGCCAGTTTCTATATTACTATCACTATTATTATTATGAGTAATAATAATATAGAAGCAGCATATAATAGTAATATAGAAAGTGGTAAATAATGTGTTACAATCATATAGAAGCTTGCATATGATAATACTAAAGGTAAAGGTTGTCCCCTGACATTCAAGTCCAGTCGTGTCCGACTCTAGGGTGAGGTGCTCTCATCCCCATTTCTAAGCTGAAGAGCCAGCGTTGTCCATAGACACCTCCAAGGTCATGTGGCCGGCACGACTGCATGGAGCGCCGTTACCTTCCTGCCGGAGCGGTACTTATTGATTGACTCACACTTGCATGTTTTTGAACTGCTAGGTTGGCAGAAGCGGGAGCTTGCGCCACTCCCCGGATTCAAACCTGTGACCTTTTGGTCAAACAAGCTCAGTGCTTTAACCCACTGCACCACCGGGGCCTCTAATACTATAATAATAATACAGAAGCTGGCATATAATATTATTAATACAATAGTAATACAGAAACTGAAAAATAGTGCGCAATAATAATAATGATATCGAAACTAGGAAATAATAATCATATCCTGCTTTTTCGAAGCGGCTCACAATAAAACCAAGTACAATCCAATTAAATTATTATTATTCTTACTCATTATTTTCACTATTACTATTGTTAGCATACCACATTTCCAAAGTGGCCCAGAACAAATAAATAATTACACTATTATTATATATATGATCAAAGCCTTGTGATCCTTCGACTGACCTCGGTGTAGGTGGGCGGGGGCATGAACTGGAACGGGGGGGCGTACATGAAGAGGGGGCTGTCGAAGGAGGAGCCGTCCAGGTCGTCCAGCAGCGGGGCCGTCGGGCTCTCCAGGCGGTGGTCCTCGGGGACAATGTCCAGGTAGCATGGGGGGGCTGCGAGCACAAAGACGCGCACAGGGTTAGTATGAGGTCTATACAAGTGGGGGGGGGGGGGGCTGACCCAGGAACTGCCTTGGGAGACATCACTGCAGAAGGGACCCCCTCAAAGGCCATCCAGCCCAACCCTCTAAGAGATATCCAGATAGCATGCTAGGGACCCCCAAAGGCCACCCAGTCCATCCCCCTCGTGTCTCACCTTCGGGCGCATCGGGGAGGTTGAGGTCGACCCAGCTCATCTCGGAGCTGGCCTGGCTGCTGGCCATGCTGGAGCTGCGGCTCCCGATCCCGGACGACTTGCTCCCAATGACCAGCGGAAGCTCCAGAAGCACCTTCTTGGACCCGGGCACGCTGGCGTAGATCTAAACAGAAGGAAAGAAAGGAGGAGGAAAAAAAAAAAAAAACATGAGACAGAGGCCTGGTGTCAAGTTAAAAATAACAGTAATATAAAATATAAAATAATGTATCACAATTATAATATAATTATGATTATAATTATAGTACTATTATTTATGATATTATTTATCATAATATCATAAATACATAATAGTATAATAAAACATAATAAAATAATATAGCATCATAAAATGACAATAAAATATTCTAAAATAGAATATAAACTAAAATAGTATTAACAAAATAATGATCACGATATTGCTATTGCTAATTACGTACATCATTATTAAAATAATATAACAGTATAATAAAATAAAATTATATATAATATTAAAGCTTTATTTTATTGATAAATTGATAAATAATATTATAAATATAAAATGACTAAATGATAATAGTTTACTAAAACTATATTATATAATAGTAATAAATAAAGCTTTATTTTATTTATTGATAAATAAACAGTATTATAAATATAAAATGACTAAATGAGAATAGTGTAATAAATTTATATTATATAATAGCAATAAAGCTTTATTTTATTTATTGATAAATTGATAAATAAACAGTATTATAAATATAAAATGACTAAATGAGAAGTTTAATAAATATAATAGCAATAAATAAAGCTTTATTTTATTGATAAATAAATATTATAATAAATATAAAATGACTATGATAATAGTTTACTAAAAATATATAACAGTAATAAAGATTTATTTTATTTATTGATAAATTGATAAATGAATAATATTATAATAAATATAAAATGACTACAAGTTTAATAAAATTATATTATAGTAATAAATAACGCATTACTTTATTTATTGATAAATTAATAATAATATTATAATAAATATAAAATGAATATGTAATAGTTTTAAAAAATTATATAATAAATAAAGCTTTATCTTATTTATTGATGAATAATAACAACAATCCTCATAGTGACAATGATGCCAGGGGGGGTGTGTGTGCTGCTGACCTGGAGGAAGTACTCCACGCGGAGGATGTGGCAGCCCAGGATGGAGGGCTTGATTTTCTTGACGCGGATGCTCTTCCCGCGCCAGGACTCGCTCATCCCAGAGATGATGTGGTTCCCGCGCACGCAGGAGAGTTTCTGGCAGAAGACCTTGGTCTGACCGCCGGCCAGGTAGGTGTGCTTGGCCAGGATGGCCGCTTTGGGCACCACGATGCGCGAACACGTGTTCTCAAAGTCCGCGTTGATGCAGATCTCATCACCTGCGAGGAGAGGAAGGAAGCGGGAAAGGTCACACACCAAACCGCAGACTCTTTCGCCGTCTACAGGGCGAGTCATTCCAGAAACCAGAGGCTGGATTACATATAGTCTTATATAGTCACCGCCCAACATTCAAACCATATCTACATATAAAAACCAGTCTATATGCTAATATATATAATTTATACATATTTTCAGAACCAGAATCCAACACTCAAACCTATATATCAAAATCTGTATCTATCTAATAAATCTATATATAAACATTATATAAATATAGTAATAATAATACATATATAGGGAACCTTACCATCACAGAAGCCTTTGCGGTCAATCCTAGCGCTGACCGAGACGTGCCCGTCGGGGATGAACATGCAGGAGACTTTTTTCTCCTTCTTGGCAGAGATGGGGCACTGCAAGGAAAGTAACGTTGCGGCGTTAGTTTGGGTAGCAGTTCTGGCTTAGCCGCTTGGGGTCAAAGGTGAGTCCGGGAAAAGCCCCAGAGGTCAGGAAGCCAGGCTCACCATGAGGTCAGGCGTGTTGACATCAATCTCGTCCATGACCTTGAACTCCTTCTTGACCTTCTCGGTGGGGAAAGAAGGCCGGTCCAGGAAGGCCTTGACCCAGTAGTCCACGGAGCCGTACTTGCCCTTGAAGGTGGTCCCCAGCGGCCTGCAGAAAGGACACACACACACACAGGGGTCAAAACACGGCACCGTACAAGCACCTGAGATAGGGTGGCTTCAAAACAAGACCACAATGGCCGCCTTTCTCCGGCCGATACTGACCCTTGGGGCAGCTGGAAGGAGAACTTGTACTCGTAGGAGTTTCCGGGCCTCAGAATCACAGAACCGTCTGCATCTGGGAAGAGAGAGGAAACAGGGAGAGAGAGAGGCCTGTTAAAACAGAGCCGTTGCTGAAATAAACAAGAAATACAACGCGGTCTCCAATGGCTCCAGAATTCCCCTTGCAAAGCCGTAACACAATCTTTAAAGAAGAGACACCATTCTGATTCCATATATATGCAATTTATTCAAATTATATGTAATTTATTTGACTTAGATATATAAAATTGCAGTCTGCAATGACCCCTGAATTGCAAAACCATTATATATATATGTATATACATACACACACACACACACACATAATTGCAGTCCCCATTGACCCTGAACTCTCCCTTGCAAACACTGTATTTCATGAGCTGCTGTTCTGATTCTCATTCATTCATTCTCTCTCTCTCTCTCTCTGTATATATATATTATACCATATAATTTAATCTGCATTTGAAACCTGTGTACATCTTGGTATATATATTTTATTAAGTGTTTTGTTTTGCTTCCCTGTTTTCAATGTGAAGTACCCAGTCCCCACGCTGCAAGGAGAATAATAATAATAATAATGGCAGCAAATAAGTAATAATTATTGGCTTACTCTGTTGTACCCTGCCCTCAAACAATGAGAAGAAGTAAAATAATAATAATACTAATAGTACCCTGCTTTGGACCACAAGGTAAGGTGTGATGATAACAATAAATAAATGAATTTATTAACTTAAGAAATGACTCTTCAAGGTCCCAAGAGGTGCCTTGATGCCCAATAATAATAACAACAATAATAAATATATTAACTGTTAAGAAATGATATCAAGGTCCCAAGAAGTGCCTTAATGCCCAATAATAATAATTATAATAATTATAATAATAAATATATTAACTGTTAAGAAATGATATCAAGGTCCCAAGAGATACCTTGATGTCCACCACTACTACTACTACTACTACTACTACTAATAATAATAAATTAACTGTTAAGAAATGATATCAAGGTCCCAAGAGGTACCTTGATGTCTAATAATAATAATAATAATAATAATAATAGTAATAATAAATTGGCTGTTAAGAAATGATATCAAGGTCCCAAGAGGTACCTTGATATCCACTACTACTACTACTACTACTACTACTACTACTAATAATATATTAACTGTTAAGAAATGATATCAAGGTCCCAAGAGCTACCTTGATATCCACTACTACTACTACTATTACTACTACTACTAATAATAATAATATATTAACTGTTAAGAAATGATATCAAGGTCCCAAGAGGTACCTTGATGTCCAATAATAATAATAATAATAATAATAATAATAATAATAATAATAAATCAAGGTCCCAAGAGGTACCTTGATGTCCAATTATAATAATATGTTGGCTGTTAAGAAATGACATCAAGGTCCCAAGAGGGACTTTGATGTCCACGACTACTACGTACTACTACATGGGAGGCCCCATCCCAACCCTTTTATCGCTGTCCAGAAACTACGGCGGCTTTGGTGGCCTTATCTTTCTCCCGCAGCAAAGCTCTGACCCTCGGCCAAGTTTCGTCAACAGGTGACACCTCTCCTCTTTAACGCTTCTCAAAGAGGGAAGTGCCGCCTATTAATACTGACCGCTGAATGGGCCGCAGCGGGGACGGACTGTACTTCCTTGGGAAGCCTTGCTGAGCCAAGGCATCTCCGCACAAAGCCCAGAAAGGGCATCCCTTCCCGACTGACCCCGCTCCCTTCCTTCTTCAAAAGCAGAGACGCTTCTCGCCACTCAGCACTTTTGTCGCCACTCAGCAAATATTATGATTATGCAATAGTCCTCATGCTGCGGATTCAGAGCTAACACTCACAATACACAAAAAGTATGTACATATATATATATACATCTCAAGACAGTAGAAATCAATGCTTTGGTGTGTGTGTGTGTGTATATATATATATATATACACACACACACACACAAGCCATCCCCTGCCATGTGTTGCTGTGGCCCAGCCAGTGTATATATTTGTGTATATGTGTATTTATGTGGTTATGTGCATGTGCTGTAATGTATTTTTAATTTTTTGGAGTCCCTTCTGTTGTGTTTTCCAGTGTTTTTATGAGTCATGGTCACTTGTTGGCCTGAGAGGTGCATTGTGTCCAAATTTGGTGTCAATTCGCCCAGTGGTTTTTGAATTACATGAATCCCACAAAGAAATATTAAATTATATATATATACTAGCCATCCCCTGCCACGCATTGCTGTGGCCCAGTCTGTGTATATGTGTTTTGTGTGTATATATATTTGTGAATATATGTTTGTTTGCATATATGGTATATATGTGGTTTTGCACATGTGTTGTAATGTATTTTTAATTTTTTTTTGGCCTTTTAAGTCCCTTCTGCTGTGTTTTTCAGTGTTTTTATGAGTGATGGTTACTTGTTGGCCTGAGGGGTGTCTTGTTTCCAAATTTGGTGTCCATTTGTCCAGTGGTTTTTGAGTTATGGCAATTCCACAAACGAACATTACATTTTTATTTATATAGATACTAGCCGTCCCCTGCCACATGTTGCTGTGGCCCAGTCTGTGTATATGTCTTACGTGTGTGCGTGTGTATATATGTATAAGTGGTTTTGTGCATGCGTTGTAATGCATTTTTTTTGCTTTTTAAGTCTCTTCTATTCTGTTTTGCAATGTTTTTATGAGTGATGGTCACTCGTTGGCCTAATACGAGTATTGTGTCCAAATTTGGTGTCAATTTGTCCAGTGGTTTTTGAGATATGTTAATCCCACAAACAAATATTACACTATATACATACACACATATACATACGCATATATAATATATTATAGTGGTATCAAATCACACATATAATATATTACAGTGGTGTCAAACCACTTTCAAAAGTGGTATCGAACCGCATTCATTTCTACACTGTAGGTGCACCCTACGAATCTATTTTTCAAATATGCAAACCAAGATAATAAATAATAAATAAATAAGATAAGTGCCTAGAAACACATGTAAACACAACCAAGCTACGAACCCAAAGATCCAACACTGGCTGGATCTACCCTGACTGTATGTACAGTGCGGTCTGAATCTGCATGCATACATACATACGGTCATATCATGCAACATAACTCCTTAATGAGCAGTTGAGCTCATTCCACCGATCTCTTGCTCAACAAATTCTGCTGACATCTATTTTAAGCAATTGCCATGAATCATTGGAAACTGCAATCCATTTTTTTGTTAACTGTTTACAAAAAAAAGACCTCTCAAAACAACTGTATTATTACGATGTTTACTTATATCCCTCTTTTCCTCCCCACAAAGGAGACTCAGTGGTTATTTATAAAGTAGCTATGTTATTATTTTTTATTATTGCTTGATACACAACAAGATTAGTACACAACAAACGAGATCGCTGTGTCGGCTGTTGCATTGGATCATTTGAAGCTTCTGAACAGTCTTCAAAGGCAGCCCCACGTAGAGCGCATTGCAGTAGTCTATTGGGGGGAATGTAACAAGAGCGTGGCCAAAACTAGCTTCTCAATGTACGGGCATAATTGTGCAAAAGGTCCCCTGGACACTGCCCAGACCCGTAACCCTAGACCCTGTTTGGCCTTTCGGCTGACCAGGATGTACTCCCGTCTTGTCCGGATCCAATTTCGATATGTACACCCTCGATCCAGATCGTCACAGCTGCCAAACGCCAGTAGCAGCAGGTGGACAGGAGCGATTAAGAGTTATATTATTATTACTATTGCTCCTTTCTCCTGCCCGTCCTTCTGTCTCAAGACACTCAGCGTCCAGCTCGGCCTGGTTTTGACACTGACCATCCAAATTGCATGACCTTTGTGCAGACTTCCCAGACCTAGCAATGGGAGAACGATACTTCGGAACGGGCCTGGGCCAACTCCGGCATCTGAAAGATTACCTGCTTTAGGAGATGCTCACCTTCCTATTTATTGAACCCCACTTCCACCCTTTCATTGTTGACTTGGGAATCCAAATCACCTGGAGGTCCAGATCTGGCTCGTACCTTCTTTAGAAGATGCTCACCTTCCTATTTATTCAACCCCATTTCCACTCTTTCATTGTTGACTTGTGAGTCCAAACCACCTGGATGTCCAGATCTGGCCCATACCTTCTTTAGAAGATGCTCACCTTCCTATTTATTGAACCCCACTTCCACCCTTTCATTGTTGACTTGGGAGTCCAAACCACCTGGAGGGCCAAATATGGCCCACACCTTCTTTAGAAGATGCTCACCTTCCCATTTATTTAACCCCACTCTTTCATTGTTGACTTGGGACTCCAAACCACCTGGATGTCCAGATCTGGCCCATACCTTCTTTAGAAGATGCTGACCTTCCAATTTATTTAACCCCACTCCCACATTTTCACTGTTGATCTGGAGTCCAAACCACCTGGAGGGCCAGACTTGGCCCACAACTCCTTCAGGAGATGTTTACCTTCCTATTTATTTAACCCCGCTCTCACGTTTTCACTGTTGACTTGGGAGTCCAAACCACCTGGAGGTCCAGATCTGGCTCACCTTCCTATTTAACCCCACCCCCACTCTTTCATTGTTGACTTGGGACTCCAAACCACCTGGAGGGCCAAATCTGGACCATACCTTCTTCAGATGTTCACCTTCCTTTTTATTTAACCCACATCCCCAACATTTTCACCGTTGAGTCCAAACCACCTGGAGGGCCGAATCTGGCCCGTACTTGCTGTAGGAGATCAGGAGATGCTCACCTTGAGGTTGGTCCTCCAGGTGAAGCTCCTCTTCGTAGCGCAGGTACTCCATGCACTGCTTGCGCTGCTGCGGCCCGGCGGTCCAGCAGACCTTGGCCACCCCGCAGGCCAGGAGGCGCAAGGCCGTGACCCGCGTGACCTCCGAGACCTGGACCTCAACACGGCCGCAGACCTTCTCGCCGCTCCCGTAGACCTTCTCGTCCGGCTCGGAGAAGGACAGCCGGAAGACCTTCAGCTTCTTGAACATCACCATGGCTCACACCTTGGTTTTGTCCTCCTGATCAAATGGGCCAAACGCTCAAGGGGTCAACTGACCACACGAAAGGGGCACGGGGGTCTTGTCGTGCCTCCCAATGGAGCATAAAAAGGGGGCAAATATATATAAATTTGCCAATTATAGTAAATTTCAAAAAAAAAATTAGATTCTATAAATTTCCCAATTAAGAGTAAATTTCAAAAAAAATATTTAGATTCTATAAATTTCCCAATTAAGAGTAAATTTCAAAAGATATTTTTAGATTCTATAAATTTCCCAATTAGAATAAATTTCTGAAGTATTTTTAGATTCTTTTAAATTTCCCAAAATCCAAATATAATTATTACAACAATAGTAATAAATCTGAAGTATTTTAATTCCCAAAAAAAAATCCAAATTATATACTATATTGTAATTATTACTATAATAATAGTAATAAATTTGGATTTTAATTTCCCAAACTGCCAATTTTAGTAATTATTATGAATTATTATCCAATAATAACTTCCTATAATATTAAATATAGGAAATTATATTAATATAATATAATAATAATTTCCTATAATGTTTAAAAAAATCTCCAAAATAGCCCTTTTTGACCAAAAAATAATTATGAAGAGCGCTGAGGAGCTCCTTCCCCTCGGCTGCCTTCTCGGCGTCTGGCCAGCTCCGCCCCGGAGTCTCCCTTTTATACCCCCGCCCTTCCTGTTGATCTCCATGCCGCCCTCGTGCTGCCCTCGTGCACAGCGCTCCCATTGGCCGACGCGCCGTGTTTACAACCCGGCGGGCCAATCAGCGCGCGGCCGGCGGCGCGTGGACAGCGTGTGCGGAGAGGATGCCTCGCTGAGGGAAACTGAGCGAGAGAAGGCAGTAAGAGCGGGGGCGGGGGCATTTCCCCTGAGTGACAGGGAAGAGAGCCAATCGGAGGCCGAGGATGGGGAACGGGGAGCCAATGAGGAGGCGAGGCGAAGGGTGTGGAGAGGATGGCTCGCTGAGGGAAACTGAGCGAGGAGTATGAGATGGGGCGGGGGAATTTCCCCGGAGTGACAGGAGGGAGAGCCAATCGGAGGCCGAGGATGGGAAAGGGGAGCCAATGAGGAGGCGAGGCGAAAGGAGTGGAGAGGATGCCTCGCTGAGGGAAACTGAGCGAGGAGGAGTATGAGGGCGGGTGCGGGGGCATTTCCCCTGAGTGACAGGGAAGAGAGCCAATCGGAGGCCGAGGATGGGGAAAGGGGAGCCAAGGGGAGCCAATGAGGAGGCGAGGCGAAGGGAGTGGCGCTTCTCAAGACATGACAGGGAGTGCTACTCTACTTTAGGCTTCTGGGGTCCCGCTAGGCCCGGCCTGGGCCGACTTGGGCCTTCCCCTTGCTAGCATTTTATATTATTATTGTTATTTTATTTCTATTATTTTACATTACTATTATTATTCCTATTATATTATAATTGTATTACTGTTATTTTATATTATTATTATTTTATTACTATTACTTTATATTATTGCTATTATTTTATAATATTATTATTTTATTGCTATTATTTTATATTATAATTTTATTGCTATTATTTTACATTATTATTCTTATTTTATTGCTATTATATATTATTTTCCTTTATTACTATTATTTTATATTATTATTTATATTATTATTTTATTACTATTTTTTATATTATTATTTTATTACTATTACTATTTTATTTTATTGCTATTATTTTACATTATTATTTTATTGCTAGCATTTTATATTATTATTTTATTACTATTATTTTATATTACTTTATTGCTATTATTTTATATTACTATTACTTTATATTATTATTTTATTGCTACTTTATATTATTATTTTATTGCTACTTTATATTATTATTTTATTGTTAGTATTTTATATTATTGTTACCTTACTACTATTATTATATATTATTATTATTTTATTGCTATTATTTTACATTATTATTTCATTGCTAGCATTTTTTATTATTATTATTTTATTACTATTATTTTATATTATTACTTTATTGCTAGTATTTTATATTATTTTATTGCTATTATTTTATATTACTATTATTGCTATTATTTTATATTATTATTTTATTGCCATTATTTTATATTACTATTATTGCTATTATTTTATATTATTATTTTATTACTAATATTTTATATTGTTATTTTATTACTATTTTATATAATTATTTAATCGCAAGTATTTTATTTATTTATTTATTTATTTATTAAATGACCACTCACAAGCCGGTTTTGCTTGGAAATGAATATATTTCCAATGAATATATTCAAAATGTCACAGAGAGAATTGAGTCAGCCAGGATGATTCAGTCAGGATGTCACGGAGGGAATTTGTGATGTCTTCATGCCGTCAGAAATTGACTCCTGACACTCTGGTCCCTTCTGGAAGGTTGCACTCAGATGGGGTTACTGTTCAACCCCACAACCGTCGCCTTGTGGGGTTCCTCGGGGTTCAGTACTGTCTCAATATATACATGAAGCCACTGGGGTAGATCATCTGGAGTTTCAGGGTGCGGTGTCATGTGTACATGGAAGCACCTTGAATTGGGCCCAAACCAGTAGCCGGTGTAGCTGGCGCAACAGAGGGGTTGTGTGCTCACTGAGCGCCACTCCTGTTAGTATCCTGGCTGCCGTTCGTTGGACTAATCAAAGCTTCCGGGCTGTCTTCAAAGGCAGCCCCACGTAGAGAGCATTGCAGTAGTCTATACAGGATGTAACCAGAGTGTGGACTACCGTGGCCAAGTCAGACTTCCCAAGGTATGGGCGCAGCTGGCGCACAAGCTTTAAATTGCGAAAGCTTGTAGCTGTTGGGATTGTCTTTGTAGAGCTGCGGCGCTGAGAGCCGGGGCCTTCCTGGACTCAACACAGGGGAAGTGGTTACAGTTGTGGTTCTCACTTGAGCTGGAGGCCCTTCATAGCCGACACCGGTGCGAATGCTCCCCTGGTCACCGCCGAAACCTGGGGTTCCAGGCTCAGCGACGAGTCCAGGATCACCCCCAAGTCTCCAGGGGGAGTGTAACCAAATCCAGCACAGGCTGTAACCCTATGCCCTGTTCGGCCTTGCGACTGACCAGGAGGACCTCTGTCTTATCTGGACTCAGTTTCAATTTGTTTGCCTTCATCCAGACCGTCACAGCAACCAAGCACCGGATCAGGACCCGGACAGCCTCCTTAGTAGCAGGGGGGAAGGAGTGACATAGTTGGACGTCATCTGCGTATAGGTGACATCGCACCCCGAAACTCCAGATGACCTCCCCCTGTTCGACCTTACGACTGACCAGGAGGACCTCTGTCATGACTGGATTCAGTTTCAATTTGTTTGCCGTCATGCAGACCATCACAGCAGCCAAGCATTGGTTCAGGACCCAGACACCCTCCTTAGTAGCGGAGAAGGAGTGACAGAGTTGAACGTCATCTGCGTATAGGTGACATCACACCCCGAAACTCCAGATGATATCCCCCAGCGGCTTCATGTAGATGTTAAACAACAAGGGAGACAGTATTGAACCCTGAGGAACCCCACAAGACAATGATTGTGGGGTCGAACAGGTGTCCCATTCTGAGAACGACCCTCAAGGAAGGACCAGAGCCACTGCAGTACCCCCAAGGCACATCCCTACGAGGTGTCCCAGGATACCACATTGTATGGTATATGAGAGGTCCAGCAGAACCAAGAGGGACACACTCCCCGTGTCTATGACCCAATGGACCAGTGGCTTCAAACTAAAGGGAAGGAAGGAGATTCCACCTGAACATGAAGAAGAACTTCCTGACTGTGAGAGAGAGCTGTTCAGCAGTGGAACTCTCTGCCCTTGAGAGTGGTGGAGGCTCCTTCTTTGGACGCTGGTGATTGGAAGGTGATTGTCCTGCTTCTTGGCAGAATGGGATTGGAGTAGATGATGGCCCACCAGGTCTCTTCCAACTCTAGGATTCTAAGTCGTGAGGCCCAGTCGTGAGGCCCATCGGGGTCTAGGGTGGCAACCTGTGCTGGACGGAAGGCGTCCCACTCTTCCTGAGGGCACAGGTCTGCAATCTGGGGGTCCTCCTGGACTCAGTGCTGATGCTTGAAGCCCAGGTGTTGCCGGTGGCCTGGAGGACCTTCTTTGCAGTCGAAGCTTGTGTGCCAAC